TCATTGTTTCAAAATCAGGATGATCAACAAAATAGTAAAATAAAACATAGCCCTAGCAGCAAAATTCCTTTTTAGTGACTTCTGCTTTATCACCTATAATTATACTGTGGCAGTTTAGTCTGGAATATGAAGTTAATGAGCTGTGCTCTCTGTTATGGCTGTTCCTCTACTAGTTTGTTTTTATAGACCTTAGCCTCTCAAATAGACAGTCTTATAGTCCTCTTCAGAACTGGAAAAGCATGTAGGCTTTAAAAGATTGTTAATATTTGTAGGCTTTAAAAGATTGTTAATATTTGTAGGCTTTAAAAGATTGTGAATATTTGGAATCTTTCCTGGATAATGAGGTTTACTTCCAAACTACCTTTCTGCCAGGAACACACCAGTGCTTCAGTACTGCTAGTTCATTCAACGTTGTGCAGAATGCATCATAAAAAGTTACTGAAGTCAACTCTGATCTTGGGTTCTCTGTAGAGACCACAAGTGATACACTGCTCATGTCGTTATATAATGCTTCAATTAATCTACCTCATCTCTCACTTCCTGCTGTTGTGGTTGGAAGGAACTGTTCTGCTCTTAAGCTCCTCTTACAAAGACTGGTTGGAGTACATTGTAATAGAGGAGAAGGATGATTTCCTCTTCTTAGGAGCTGCTGAACATGCTGTGGGGAAGAGAAATATCCAGAACCTGCACTGTGGCAAGCAGAAGGGTTGCACCAGGGTTGTGGGAGCATGTCTTCCACTAAGGAAAATGAGAAATTGCAGGGAGAACTTAGGAATAAACAGTTGGTCCTTGGGAGAGACTGAAAGAGCTTTCTTCAGTGTTGGAGGAGATTGTTTTATTTCTTCCCTTTTTTGTTGTTGTTGTGGTGTTGGTAAAATCAGCCAGTACTTGTTTAGGGCTTGACCACTTTGTCTAAACAAACTGCAGTATTGCTGGCTGTTACCCAAGCTTGCTTGTGCCTTTCACAGTTACCAAGCAGATAAAATACTCAGGGCCACCTGTCCTGGTGTAGTGAGGGAGTGTTTGCAGCAGTGGGTTCAGGATTCAGGGGGTGCAGAGTAACTCCCTGTCAGCAGACACTTCTCTCTGTTGTGGGTTTGTGTCTCACTTGTTGTTGTGGTGGTGGTTGGGTTTTTTTGCTGGGGTGGGGTAGAGATGGGGCAGTTTGGAGGGCTGGCTCTCATTCACATTCCTCTGGTCTGGTGAGCTCTTCCCCAGCAAAGGGAGAACAGGTGTATAGGTTTGGTGTTGGATTCCATGGACCAACAGTGTAGCAGTTACAGCAGTTAATGCAAAATGTCACAGCTGATAAGCCATTTCCCTTTCTAACATCCCCATCTCTACAGATAAAAGTACCTTTCTGTTAGGGCCTAACCTGGATGTTAGCTTTTGTACAGGTTTGAAGAGGTGAAGGAAGAAATTGCTGAAATGAGAGAAGTCACAATGAGATTTTTTGACAGTGAAAGAAGGATCAAGATCAAGTGTTTGCTAATGGAGACCTGAAATTAGGTGGACTCAGCAAGCAAAGACAGCAGTAGAGTGCAGATATATTTTTCTGTTAGTTATGATGCCATTTATTGGCAGTTAGTGATTGTGCCTTTGAATTCATGTCCTAGCTTTAGCATCTGTCTCTTTAGCCCATGTTTCCTAAGTAAGAGGTTCTGTCCCTGCAGTCACTTTGTAAATTGTGGTGTCCTTTGATTATTGCCACTAGATTCTCCATTCAATGGAACCTTTAATTTACAGCAAACCTGTATTGCTTCATCTATTGAGACACACCCCACACTCCCCTCCAAGCTGAAAAACTGCAACCACAATAGCACATACTAATTTGGCCTGTTGAGTTAATTGAGGGTGGCAGAAGAGCTGCCTGTAACTGGTCATTATCACTTCAGGTGCTACAGGGAGTAATTCTTATCATGAGTTTTGCTGTCCTTGCAGTGTTTGTGTCAGGTGATATGGGAGAGAGTGTCCAGGGAATACCTGTAGCCTGAAAGCTAAGGGTTAACTATTTTCCATTCCAGAATTTAATTTGGAGCCATTTGTAATCTGTATACTTTATTAGTGCTTTGGTGCTGATGCTTTAACATGGATGTGTTAAAAGGCATGAAAAAAATTCTGAAGAGACACTAAAATCTGAAAAATAATTGGTGAAACTGAAGCATTTATTGTCACCTCAGCTGTTGTGAGCAAAAAGAAATAAGCCTAAAGCCTGTGTGGAATAAATTGTTAGCATGTCTTGTTACTGGAAAATTGTGTTGTTATTTAACTTTGTGACTTCTGTGTTTTAGGGTTCTTACACCCTAGAATTTATCTCAAACATTTATTTTTTCCTTAAGGCATGAGTTGAAATGCAATGTACAAATAAAATAGTTGTTGCTGCAGATGTCTGTGTACTTAATTCTGTAGAGCATATCATAAAATAAAATACCAGGAAAATTCTGGGGAAGACTTCTTAGAATCTATCACGGAAAAAAAATGTGTTTAGACTTTTGTCTAGGGTGTGTTCTGTGTATTTTAAGTTGCTGTGTACACCCTGTCTTAAGATAATTATTATCAGATAATTATTTAGAGGTTCTAGCATAGGAGTAGGAAAGTTTACCTCTTCCGAAGTAAAAACCTCACAATAGGATTTGATGAGGATGATGCAACATTAGGTGAGCCTTTAGGAAAAGTGAGCAATAAAATAATGGAAAAGATGTTAACTAAGTGATTCTTCAAGGTACAGTTTACATATGTTACTTGAAAAAAACCCAACATTAAATGAGAGTTTATTGTCAGTGTTCATCACTTTTATGCTCCTGTGGTTTAATGGGAAAAGCCCAATGCTCTGTTTTTGATTGCTGACAGTTTGAAAATATTTTCTCTCTCTGTTTTGACAGGCCAGTTGGAATGCCAAAAATGGAAAAAGTTTACCTACATAACCCTAGCTCAGAAGAAACAATTACATTAGTATCAATATCTGCTACGACGTCACATTTTCATGCATCATTTTTCCAAAATAGGGTAAGTTATTTTGCTTTCTCCAAATGAGCTTTGTTGAGCCTCTCTCCAGCCTGGATGGGAGAGCAACTTACTGCAAAAAAATGACACACCTAAAATTATAAGATGCTTCAGTTCTTGGTCTCTTACCTGAGCAAATTTGAACCAAGCACAGGAACACAGGAGTTCTGGCTGCGTTGGAAGTGTGTTGTAATTGATGGTTTAACTGCACATCTCCTTTGTTCCTGCAGTGACTACATTGCCTTTGAGCAGGAACAAACTGTTCTTAGCATTTTTCTGAAAATTCCACGTCGTGTGAAGTAGTGTTTGTGTGAAGTAGTCACTCCAGTGCACTTAGAGCTGTAACTGATTGTGTTCAGGACCTTGTGCTCTCAGTCAAGGTGTCAGCAGGGTGAACTCCTAACCACCTTTCTGTCTGATAAGGTCCTGTAGTTTCAGTTTTGTCTGCAGGGTCTGTGGCCTAGCAGGGGCCATATAAACATTAGAAGCTTCAGAAAACCTGTCTGTAAGCAACCTTTCTTAATTATGGAGCTCTTGTAGTAATTGCCTTTCTCCAGTGATCTGTGAACTGTCAATCCAAAATATTTGTGTGATAAGCTGAACTCTTAGGTTTAGAATTCAACCTAAAACCTCAATTTAATACGATCCTGCACTAGCTAATAGTTGTAAAGTATTGGGGGGTTTATTACTTTGTTACACATTTTATTTTTCTGAAACTTCTAATCTTTTTATTTTTCAAAATCTTTTCTAATTTAAGCATTTCCATAAAGAACACGTAGAGATCTGTAGCACAAAAACTATTGCTCATCTGTATGGTGGAATATCTTCAGTAATCAGCTTTTCTTATCCCTCTACTTGCTTGGTTTTATTTTTTTCCAGAAAATTCTTCCAGGAGGGAATACATCCTTCGATGTAGTTTTCCTTGCAAGAGTAGTGGGAAATGTAGAGAACACTTTATTTATTAACACTTCTAATCATGGGGTATTTACTTATCAGGTAAGAGAATTACACCCTTTCAGAGAAAGTTGTGAATTGTGAATCAATTGTGAATCAATCAAATGCCCTTGGATGCCTAACCATCCAAGGGTGTTTGCACAAGAATGGTGTGATGTTTGTTGGGGTTTTTTTTTTCATCAACCCAGGTGAAGAAGTTTCCATCCCTGCTGCTTGTTCTAGCACAGAGATACACCTTTGTAAATACCTGTAGGGCAGTCCTGTAAGACAGATGGATGAAATTGAGTAGAGTTTAAAATCCTCCCAGCACCTCTGTTGTTTGTGTGTTGTTTTAGTGGCTCATGGTAGTGATCTAGCTCATTCTTTAGCTCTATACTCACCTGATCTAGTGGCAAGACAATGTTATTCTTGTACTCATCTGATCTAGTGGCAAGACAATGTTATTCATTAAGCTGGCAAAAAAATTACTCAGCTGAGGTTCAAGCAGATAAATCAGACAGATCAGAGAGACTGAAAAGTGAAAAATGAGATAAATCCTCTTGTTGAAAGAATATGATTCTTACCATGGGAATGTTTTGCAAACAGCAGAAACACTTCCTGTGTGGATAGTTGCATAATGGTGTGACTAAAGGACTTTTTCATACCTCTTGAACCTTTAGCTGCTATCTAGTGCTCCAGAATGTTAGATTTTGTCTCCCTGTTTTCTCAGGATGTCAGTGTAAGTGGTAACTCTGAGAAATACCATTCAGCTGCAAACTAATGGTACTGCTTTAAATGCCTGGTTAGAAATACACTGTAAAATGAATCAAAAAGAGTGTTTGCTGGGTTACTAAAATTGGTGTGCAGGCTCTCCACAATTGCTTGCAGTTCTTGAAGTTGTGTTTCTTTCTCTGGCCCAGGTGTTTGGCATTGGAGTTCCGAACCCCTATCGACTGCGCCCGTTTATTGGGGCACGAGTTCCTGTAAATAGCAGTTTTTCTCCTATAATAAATATACATAACCCTCACAGTGAACCTTTGCAGGTGAGCCTGAGAGAAAAATCCTTAAATGCAAGTTTATGATGTTAAGTTGAAATGATGTTTAGTCTGGTGGCACTTAAAATTCTCAACTTTAAAGCTATTGGAAGTCGTCTTTCGTATTATATAATTGGGTTTTTTCCTGTTTAACTGCAAATAAGTTCTAGAAATTGTAGATTTTAGTCACAGTTCTCTTCGTTTGCCAAATTGAGGTTTTACAGGAAAATTTGAGCTTTCTAAACGATTGTAATGACTGCAATATAAAGATTCACTTCACTGACAATTAAGAATGCTGAAGCAAACAAAGTAAAATGTGCTTTGAATCCAGACATGCCTCTTAGCTTCCTCCTGCCTGTTCTGCACAGCACAAGGTGTTGTCAGGGTGTACCCTCACATGTCATGTTGGCAGCATTCTTATGTTAAGGCAGGACTGATGTCTTTACCTAACCACAGCTTGATTCTGTTACGTGATTCACAAACTGGGAAATGCTGTAGAGTGTCCTTCAAGTGTACCACTAGCAAATGGCTGTGTCATCACTAAAGTGAATTTACAAGATACTCCAGTGGTCAAATAGTCACAGAACCATCAAGGTTGGAGGAAACCTCTAAGATCATCCAGTCCAACCATTAACCTGCCACTCTACTGGAGCCACTAAACCCTAAACCAGATCCTCCAGTGTCAGATCCAGATGCCTCTTCAACACTTCCAGGGATGGTGACTCCACCACCTCCCTGGGCAATCTATTCCAGTGCCTGAACACCCTAAAAGGGCCAAATTCTTTCTTAGCATCCAATCTGACTCTCCCCTGTCTCAGCTCATGACCATTCCCTCTAGTCCTCTCCCTGCAGCCATGGCAGGAGAGACTAGTCACTAGCTGTGCCATTGCATGTGATAATACCTGATAACTAAACCAGAATCCCTTTAAAGCTGAGTGCTAACATTTTCCTGTTACCCACCTCAGGTGGTAGAAATGTACTCCAGTGGAGGGGATCTCCATTTAGAGCTTCCCACAGGTCAGCAGGGAGGAACAAGGAAGCTATGGGTGAGTAGTCCTGTCTTCATTCTCTTTGTTTAGAGAGGTTTTATTTTGATATGATTTTAGATTTGGGGTTTTTGTTAATCCCCTTTATTTCTTGTCATGTAATCCATTAAAATACCCCATAAAAATGGAAAACAGTAACAGAGTCATTAATACGGTGGTAGGAATTGAATGGAAAGTTTAATTAAATTAAGCCATATGTATTGAGCTGTGTATTTTTGTAATGCAAAGAATAAAATGATTCTCAGTAGGATGAATTACACCTGCCTGAGCATTCAGGATAACGTAGCCCTGAAGGCCTGTGAGCTAGATCTAACCCACAGAAAAAATACGTGTGGTTGGCTGGTTGGTTAGAGTTTTTTTGTGTTGTATTTTTGGTGGTGGTGAGTTTTTTAACTCAGAAAGTCCTTCCTGCAAATTAATATGGATGCACACATGGGTTGAAAATGCAGCTGAACAAATTTAGAGAATACAAATCTATGAAACACTACTAAACAAAACAGCAGTGTGTGTAGCTGCAGTAAGTCCCTAGATCATGAGTTGAGAGTGGCTGGAAATTGTTCTGAAAAATAATCCTGCATACATACCTTATAGTTCCTCTTTATTAATCATGACTGCTGCTGCAGCCAGGGTAGTGGGTTGGGTGGACTCTGGTCTGGCCATTAAATCTGTTTTGTTGTATTCTTCCCTTAATATAATTTTGAAGTAACACATGCTGATACCTTTAAGTGAAATAAAATTAGAATCATCCTGAAGGTAAAGTTTTGGCTCTGTAGATCACATTGTAGGTACTATCCAGCTAGATACAAAACCTGTTTTCCTCTCTAGTTAGAATTACTTGGTTTTCTGATGACTGGTTTTTGGTCTGGGAGAGAATTCAAAGTCATTGGGCTCCAAAGCTTGTCTTTTGCTCAAGTATATCATCACAGTCACACGACAATTATTTTGTTGTAAGAGTAAAGCCAGGATATTTCCAAGGGAGCTACCAAGGACATTCCCAGTACTTAATTCCTGTCTTGTCTGCAGAAAGTCCATCAGAATGGCAGTATTTTGGTTTCTGATAGAAAACTTACAAGCAAGTGTTAGCAGAGATCACAAGTGGAAAGAATAAACAGATGCTGAGTGTTAGATGTAAACATCAAAATGGATTTTAAAAACCGAGGGCCCTAATGTTTTGACACTGTTTTAGTCCAGTTGCTTTGCTTTTAAAGACAGCCCCTTCCTTTTGTCCAAAGAGCTCAAGAGGCATGTTTTTCAGAGCATGGAGCTTTTCAGCTTCTCTGGGCCAGGCTGCCAGTTAAAGTGATGATGACTCACATGTGAAGGCTCCCAGTGTCTTGCATGGACTAATCCTCTTGTTTTTCATATCAACCATTGGTATTTCAAAACAATAAGGCAACTAGAAGTCAAACCAGTGGAAGGAAACTCCCAGCTATATTTCATTGTATTGGCTATGTCAAGAGCTGCACTGCAGTTAGAAAAAGCTGCAAAGTAGAAGAAATGATTTGAAATATGGTGATGGTACTTTGACATGTGGATGTAGGTAATTGTCTAACATTGTTCCCATGCCAAATGCTTCATCCAATCCTCCAAGGCTGGATGAAGCAGTCTGCACATGCAGGAGTATTTGTGTAATCACTCTTCAAAGTTACTTTGGGGATCCAACTAACTTTGGGTCGCTGGTTACACTTAGGGTAGAGTCAGATCACATCCTTTGGAGCATTAACGAGTGGCTGCACTATGTTGGGTCTGTGAATAAGTGTGAAAAGAAAACTTGAAAGGTTGCTAGTTTAGGGACTCCCCAAGTAGTAGCAGTTGAAACTAGTTGCTTTGATATTCAACAGTTTTCGAAGAACACATCTGCAGTCATCGTGCCATAAAAATATGGCTCGACCTCCAGAGTGCATCGGCCTGGGGTTGAACTACAGAAAGCACAGAAGAGAAGTACGAGACAATCAGGACCTATATGTGTTACTTCCTGTCCAGCTGACACAATATCAATCATTGCAAGGACTACTCATCAAAAATTCCTACTTTCTCTCATATTTGTTTGCACTCACAGTGTAAGAAGTTCCATATTTCAAGTTGAGGTTTTCATCTTCTGTTTAAAAAAAAATCCAATCCCCAGACCCTCTGTCATGTGATGGGGAACAATATGCAGTGTTAGTATTTCAGCTGTGGTGCTGAAGCTAATCTTGTAGAATCATAGAAGATTGGAGAGACCTTTAAGATCATCAAGTCCATCTGTTGTGCTGCAGCTGTGTCCAGCAAATACAGAAAGTTGTCTTTCTATAACCTTGAATGCAAATTAGAGCTTTTATGGAATAGGCATCAATAAGAAACTAAAACACATGTTGGCTTTTTACTGTAAATTACAGGGTGACTAATAAATTTGAAGCTCCACAGGCTTCTGGCCACTTGGAGTTCTGCACTTTTTCCATTGGTGTATAGCACAGAAACTGTATGACTTGTGTCTGCTTTGGAGGAAAAAACAATTGGAATAGGCAAACCCAGTGGTTTATGTTACTGTACTCAACCACATTTTAATGAACATCTTTTTGGGTTTTGGTAGATTCTGTTAATAGAGACTACTGTCTTTTTGTCACACTTATAATCCATAAAACTTAGAATCATAGAGTCATAGAATCATAGAGTCATATAATTGTTCACTTAATCAAGTGGTACATGAAAGTTCTCTCATGTGTACCTATTTTTAGTCATAGAATCGTAGAATTTAGGGGTTGGAATGGACCTTAGAGATCATCCAGCCCCAACCCCTGCCCTGGGCAGGGACACCTCCCACCAGAGCAGGTTGCTCAAGGCTCATCCAACCTGGCTGTGAACACTGCCAGGGTTGGGGCAGCCACAGCCTCCCTGGGCACCCTGGGACAGTGTCTCACCAGTGTCATATTAGATAATTACAACTCTCCTTTCTAAATTTAATAGTCATTTTAATAACATGCAGCCTGTCTCTTCTTGCTATTGCAGCTTTTTCTCTTAATGCAATTACCCTGAATGCTTCTATTGTAATAATTTGGTGTGACAGCTTTATTTTTTTTTAATTGCCACACTCTCATAGATGTGCTTTGATTATTTATCAGGAAATACCTCCCTACGAAACAAAAGGAGTGATGAGAGCCAGCTTTTCTTCAAGAGAAGCAGATAATCACACAGCCTTCATCAGAATAAAAACAAATGCCTCAGACAGCACAGAATTTATCATTCTCCCTGTTGAAGTAGAAGTTACAACAGGTTTGTAGAAAAGTGATTGACTTTTTGGTTTGTTCTGTGGTTTAGGTTTTGGGTTTTGTTTTTTTCAATTACTCAAATGAATTATTTTCTTTTTCTTAAAGCACCAGGAATCTATTCATCAACAGAAATGCTAGATTTTGGTACACTGAGAACACAAGGTAAACCATTCTCCAGGTCCAATTTCTTATATATAAGATCCTTCTTTAAGTGCTTAACATTTTACACTTGCATTAATGTTGTTTAGTGGAATAAAAAATATATATATATTAGAAAGTAGTAAAACTGAAGGTATCTTTTGAAACTGTAAAATGCATTTATTACTGAGGAAAAAGAGTGTATATATATATATATATATTCTTTCAACTAAAAAAGATGGTTTCTGAAGTCCTTATCCTTGCAACTTCCTTAACATGTGAAGATTTTACAGTAAGATTAGTTTCTGCCTAATGCTGGTGCATCTGGCAAAATTATGCATTGTAGTATTTTTACCCTGTTCATTTCTTAATGTGTAAGAAATAGAAGTGGTTAGCTGAAGTGTGTAGTAGCTGCACAGAAGTGTGTCAGATCCTTGAACTAGCTAATTTGTGTGTTCTGTCATGTTAGTCATAAATTTTGAACACTGAACAGAGGATTTATAGGAAATCACCTAGTGCAGATGACTTTGCCTAATCACTGAACAGAGGATTTATATGAGATCACCTAGTGCAGATGACTTTGCCTAAGGTTCTTAGTTCAACTAGCCTAATAGCCAGGTGTGTTTTTTGTTCTTTAACAGATCTGCCAAAAATTTTGAATCTGCATTTATTAAATTCAGGAACAAAAGATGTGCCAATTACAGTAAGTTGGATTTCCTTTCGATTTGAAACTTTCTACTTGGATTTGCTTTGCCACATCAAAGTTGCTCATTCACAGGTTCACCACGTAGTGCTCAGAATTAGAAACTAGGTGATGTGTGACTGAAAATGTAACTTAATAGTAGGGCAAAGAATTCTGATGCATGATAAAATTCCTTCTCTTCACAGCCTTCTTTGAATGGCTGTTCCAGCATTTGTGGGCTGTGCCTGCAATATCTGAGCCTTGGGAAGCTTTTGTACTGGAGAACAGTCACTTGTGTTCAGTGAATGAGAGATTAATGCAGAATCTGAGAGATTCTTTGTCCTGGTCACACACACATCACATTTCCACATCAGTGTCAAAAGTGGTTGCCCAACATAATCTTTGAAGATAAGCACAGAGTAGCTTTCAGGAGCTGACTGTAAAATGACCTTGGTTTTCTTAAGCTTATCTGCTTTGTAGCTTGAAATAAGGTAAAAGCCCAAACACTCCAGAGCTCTTTCCATTAAGGTCCCTGCAGCTGGATGTGCAGCCAGCTGCACAATTCTAGGGTTTGGAGTTTTTTACTTTCTATTTTGGTCACAGAATTTTGGCTCTAGTCTGGTAGTCTGCCTTTGTTCATTCATACCTTTTTCCTGTGTGATTTTTCTCATTGCCCACTGTTTTTCTCACTTCTTCCTTCTCCCCTTCCTGTCTTCATGTTTTCCAGATTTAGCTGTGTAGCTAGCTAGACCTTGTCCCAGTGCACTTCAAAAGGTGTTGAAGTGTTGAAAAGAAATCAGAGGAGCCAGAAGAATGACTGAAGGGTTGGCAAAGGTTTCTTACTGAGCTCTGGGAGAGCAGTTCTGTGTTTATAGAACTTAGAGCTGTAACTATAAGGAACAGCATTTTAATAGCACAGATCAGGCAAAGCATTAGGATACTGGAAACTGAGGCTAAATTAATTTAAAGTAGAAACAGGACACATTTGTAGGAATGAAGGAAACTTTTATTGTAAACAGGACTTAATTCTTTGATGTCCTAATGTTTTATTGCATGAATGAGGTCAGGTGATCCTATAAGGTCTCTCTTGGCTTTGTAAGCTCTGACTCAGCATCCATGGAGGGTGTTTAAAAACAAAAATGAAATAACTCTATATGATTTTTACAGTGAGAAGTTTGGTTAATTTATTACATTATTTTTCCAGCTAGATCTGCATGGCCATATTCTTAGATTTGACAGGTTTTTGGCACACTTTTTCCAGCTAGATCTGCATGGCTATCTTCTTAGATTTGACAGGTTTTTGGCACAGGGACAGTTTTTTGTGTTTTTTAAGTGTGGAATATACTTCCTGAGTACAATGCAAATAACCATACTCAAAACATCAGTATCACTTCTAATATCTAATAGTGTAGTGCCTAATTCATACTCCTCCATTTAAAAAAACCCCAAACTTCTCCTTTTCTTCTTCTTTTTTTTTTTTTTTTTTTTTTATTTAAGGTTTTGGTCTTTGGACTATGATCTGTAAACCACAGATGTGAGTCTAATCTGTCATTTAATAACATGATACATGTCATGACAAAACTTTTCCAGATAAATTCCTCTTCTACAATGTATCAAAGCAGTACATTTGATATTCTTAAAGCCTTTGGGACTCGTGCAGTGAAAAGGTTGCCACACAGGTCCAGACATGATGTCTTTTTTTAGTGTGTCACATATGACACATCAAGTTGATTGTTCTCCTTTAGGCACAGCTTTGTTGGGAGGTTTGTAACCTGTCTAGCTTTTGAAGCACTGTGTGAATTTCTGCTGCTGTGCCATTTAAGGAATTTCAAAGTGGTAAGCAAGAGTAAAGAATTTTTAGAAGGAACCTGGTGAATGTCTTCTAGGAAAGCTTGAGTAATGGACTTCTGAGCCTTTAGAGCTAGGCTTTAAAAGCAGTGAGACAGAGCTGTGTGACAAATTTCATCTTAATGTCAGAAGAAAAGGCCAAGGCTATATTTAGCATATGTTTAAGCTGGGTGCTGGAGGAACTAAATATCTTCAGGTCACCAGTGTCCAAGGGAGCACTAATACTGTTGCCAGAGTTGTAGTTGTTCTGCCTTTCAGTCCCTTAGTCATGCTGTGGTCCAGAAATTAGTTGAGGAAAATAAGAGTGAATCACTTGACTTCCTTTTTTGAGTTCTAAAACTCTTTATAAAATCTTCCTAATCTGTAGAGTTTGATCCATTATTAGGGAGAATAATGTTTATTTCATGACTGGATATTTCATGGTCATTTCAATCATGACTGGATTATTTCATGAATACTGGATAAACTGTTGTCATGCTGCAAGAGTTAAGCCATGCTGTCAAAAATCTAGTAAATGTAGCTTGTTGAGCACTTTCTTTATCCCTTCTCAAGAAAGAAAATTATGTATTTCCTTAAGGCAGTTTAAGCTGTTTGATTGACAAAAGCAAAGGCACTTCAAAACTTGAGCTCCTGATCATGTTTGATGCATTAACTTCAGGACACCCATATTGAAACTGAGTTCTATCAGTTTGAAAGCAAAGTGTTTGTATAAGGAAATATTTACTTCTGTCACAACTCATCTACTTCAGAGTTGGGGTTAATTTCTCTCTCCAGCCTGCAAGAAGTAGTTTGCTTCTGTGTTATATTTTCAGTCTGCACATTTGAATGCATCAGTCTCAAAGTTACCAAGGTGCAGATATCTTTAAGGATAAAAATCCAATAGTAGTTTATTTTGTGGCTGTTCTGGATGGTGAAGCTGAACTTTGTTGGTTACATGTTTGCATAAACAGAAGGCCAAGTAATTACTGACAAAATAATTGTGTCTGTAGAAGCAAATAAAATGGTGCAGAAGTGGTTGTGACACTAATGGAGCCAACCTTGGTCTGCTGCCTGTAGCCACAGAGCTTTTTCCTCTTGCAGCAGAGTAGCTGTGTCTCTAGTATCTGTAAGCAAAAGTCTTCAGCCTGCTCAGTCTTTAGGTGGACAAGAATGAAACAAGTGACTTTCTGACAGGTGAACAGTGTGGATGATGAACATGTGCCAGTCCTTCAGCCTATACTCTTGTCGTGGTTTAACCCCAGCACAGCCAAGAACCACAGAGCCACTCACTCACTGCCCCAGCAACGGGATGGGGGAGTGAATTAGAAGGGTAAAAGCTACAAAAACTCATGGGTTGAGATAAAGACAGTTTAATAGAGAAAGCAAAAGCTGCACACACAAGCATAGCAAAACAAGGAATTCATTCACTGCTTCCTGAAGACAGGAGGTGTTCAGCATCTCCAGGAGAGCAGGGACCAGCACATGGCATGGTTCCTTGGGAAGACAAACACATCACTCCAGATGTCCCCCTGTCCTTCTTCTTCCTCCCACTTTATATACTGAGCATGATGTGCTATGGTATGGAATATCCCTTTGGTCAGGTTGGGTCACCTGTCCCAGCTGTGTCTCCTCCCAATCTCCCATGCAGCCCCAACTTCCTTGCCAGTGTGGCAGTATGGAAAGCAGCAAAGGCCTTGGCTCTGGGTGAGCTCTGCTCAGCAATAACAAAAACATCTCTGCATTACCAACCCTGTGCTCTGCACAAACCCAAACATAGCCTCATACTAGCTTCTATGAAGAAAGTTAACTCTACTTCATCTCAAACCAGCACAACTCTCCTCTTCAGTTTATTAGAATATGTGTGGTCTGAGAGTCCTTAAACCTTCAAAGTCTTTAACTGCTGCAATAGCACAAAGCTTTCTCTTCCCTTTACAACATTTCATTTTCTGCTGTTCTGCTTCTGCTCTTATCCTAAACATCCAACGTGTCTTCATGGAGCAGGGTCAGGAATCCTGAGTGTGGCATTCTGGGGGAGAGCCACATGTTACTGAACATGTCTGAAAATTCTTCCCCACACAAGTTGCTGTTAAAAAGGTTTTTTTGAGAAAAATGGTTATATTGCATCCATGATAGAATTTATTTTGCATGTATCTTCATGACCTGTGCATATTTGATGATTCTCAAGGCACATTTAAGGACAGGTTTTTGCTTGGGCTTTGTTTGAAATAGGTTGAAATTTGAGGAAAGTAAAGTTGAAAGGATTCTTAAGGATGTTTGGTTTGTGTTTCCTTGTATAGCATATAATCAAGCAACAAATGAGAAGTGTGGGTTATGTAGTTAAGAAATTTTCAACAAGGCAGTGTAAACTTAGCTAAATTTGTTAGCTGTAGAGTTTTTGAGTAAATACAGATAGACTTGTTACACTTGTGATTTAAGAGATGCCTCTCTGAAACCTGCCATTTTTCTGACAACAGGCAATCCTTTCAGATATTTCCAATTTTATTTCCTGAATGGAATCAGCATTATTTCAAACCAATAATTAAAGAACAGCATTTTGCATAAAAAGAGCTTCTAGAAATAGTTATCCTGTCACGCAGAAGTTGTGAAATTCATTACAGCTTTGGTTTCATCTGCTTTAAGAGTTTTTTTCTTTAAAAGGCACAGCAAGATTTCAGTTTTGTAGTGTGAATTTGGTTAGAAGAAAATTGTGATAATTATTAATTGACTCTTGAAGAGAAATAGGCAGTATCTGTACCATGTGAATGCAGATGGTGGAGAAAGGTCAGTACTATAAATCCAAAATCCAAAACTTCTGGTTGAGTTAGCAGAGAGTATTTATGAGCTGCAGGAGTAGTGCTGCATGTTTTCCCTAGGGATCTCGTGGTCTGCAGAACTGTTAGGTGGGCATGATTTTATGGCTTTAATTTACAATCAAGGACAGTTTAGCCTGGAAGAGCTGTAGTTGGTTGGTAGCACTAGGTGTCTGCCTTGCTCCTCTTTGACCATGGAAGCAGGTGCTAAACCTCTGCAGCCCAGCAGAAGGTGAGCCAGCATCCTTTTCATTCCTTAATACAGCATCCTGTGATTTGCTGCATCTTAGCAGCTGCTGCATGAGCAGCTGAGCTGTTCTTAAAGCAGAAGACAGCTGGGGAGGAAGAATCATGCTAGCCATCCAAATTTTAAGCAAAATAAGGATAAGATTATTTAAATGCTCCATGCCAAGTTTCTCAGCCATCCGAATTTTAAGCAAAATAAGGATAAGGTTATTTAAATGCTCCATGCCAAGTTTCTCTCCATGGAATCTAGGTAGAGTTTGCTTGCTGTCTTTGTAGAGTCTTCAGGTTTTGGCACAGAATCCTTAATCCTGCTCCATAGCAATGAGCAGCTCTACAAATCAGCTCTGGCTAATAACTGACACAATACCTATTCCAGTAGTGCCCCATTTACCTTTTCCATTGAGTTTAAACCAGGAATCCTCAGATGCAAAAGGTGATCTTGTGAAATGTTGGTTTAGAACAAGTGTCTTCTCAGGTCTACAAAACTGTTCTCTGTACAATGAGTTGTTTTTTTCCCTGTGGCAGCTCTGCAGACTTAGCATGGGATCAGAGACAGGGTAGATAGATGTATCATCACTGGTAATTGCACGAGTCAGTGAAGAGCTTTGTTAATGAGTGCAGCAGAGACAAATAGTCTAGCTGTTGTAGCCATGCAGAATGAAGAATAAAAAACAAATCTTAATTTAAATAAAGCTTGTTTTGTATTTCATTGACACGTTTCTGGCCATTCTGTCACTTCATTCAACATCCCCAAGGAGAACTTCTCTCTTTCCCACTCTCCTGCATGCTGAGTAATTTGTGGAACCTGAAAAAAAATCAAAAACATCTTATAATGCTGCTTTGCTATAGGAAGGACAGACCTGTAAGAGCTCAGCCCAAATGAGCTGCAGTTGTATCACAGTGGAAACAGGTGAAGGCTGCACAGCATGGTAGCAATGATAAATTTACAAGTGCTTCATATTTTGATTGTTTGCAGAGTGTTAGACCTACACCACAGAACGAAGCTATAACAGTACATTTCAAGCCAGTTACGTTAAAAGCCTCTGAAAGTAAATACACCAAAGTCGCAAGTATTAGCTTTGATGGTAAGTATTGCTCTCTTCTTACAACTTGTCAAGTGCTTCTGAAGGCTTTCTGAAGCTTCATTAATCATTTTCACTCTCTTGACAAAATACTGTTTGTAATTTGAGAAGAAAATGGAATTTTCTTGCCTGGGAAAGGCTTACAGTTCTTCTAAACTTCAGTTATTTCTGTAGGGGTTGTCTGTTCATGGTCAGCCAATAGCTTAGACTGAAAAATACTGATGAGAAGAATCATAGAATCATCAAGGTTGGAGGAGACCTCTAAGATCATCCAGTCCAGCCATTAACCTGTCACTGCTGGAACCACTAAACCCTAAACCAGATCCTCCAGTGTCAGATCCAGACACCAAACACCTCCAGGGATGGTGACTCCACCACCTCCCTGGGAATCTATTCCAGTGCCTGAACACCCTCACAGGGGAAAAAATAAGAGAAGGTGTCCTTAATTTTTCTACTAAACATAACAGTGTTCTTATGTTAAGACACTGATCATTTAAATCTATTTTTAGTCTAGATAGGCATTTGGTTTTGAGAAGTCCTAATAAACCAGGTAATGAGTACAAGTTACTCCTGGGGAGATTCCAGTTATTCAGAAGAGGAAAAGTTTTCACAATGAGAACAGTCAGCCATGGAAATAATCTCCCCAGGAAGGAGGTGAAGTCCCCAGTGTTGGACACTGAAGGTTCATCTGGCCAAGGTGCTGAGCCATCTTGTCTAGACTGTACTTTTGGCTAGAAGGGTTGGACCAGATGATTCTCAAGGTTCCCTTCCAACCTGGTATTCCATGATTTTTCTCCTATATAGTGTGACTGTAAATACTCTGCTGGCATTTTGTAGAAAGGCACCTCCCTTTCTATAGAGATATTAATCAGCTGTCAGAATGGTGGTGACTGCTCAGATGTTACTGCTGTAAGATACTTGTTGGTGCTGTCTGTCTGTCTGCCTGGATTGCTTGATACTGGAACCTTAGAGATGCAATACTTTTCATTTGTGGTAGGTATAATTTTAGAAGTTGTATGCATAGAGAGGAGATAATTGAATTTTTTATTATCATTTATCGATTAGCACTTCAGATATTTAATAGCTTACAGTTCATAACACAAGTAAAGTATGGCTTAGCCTATAAATAAATTCTGAAATTGCTGAACTGTGTCAACTTGAGGTGATAATATGTTCAGATTTTGAAGCTGGAGGGAATTGTTATATGAGGATCTACTGAGTAACATATGGTATGTCTTGGAAGGAAGTGTGAAAATTACCCAGTCAAGCTGCTTAATGTGTTTAAGGAATTAACTTGGTAAATTCTTATCAGTGAGCAGGAAGCCCTAAATATTTGCAAGTTCAGGGGCTTGGTGATTTCTCTTATCTATTATTTAAATCCCTTGATTTTCCTGGTGCTGCAGCTGCCAGAACAACATTGCTTGTTTTGTGATCTTCGTAGAGTCAGAGAATTTTAGGGTTTGGAATGGACCTTAGAGATCATCTAGTCCCACTCCCTGCCCTGGGCAGGGACATCTTCCCATTAGACCAGATTGCTCAAAGCTTCAGCCAACCTGGCTTTGAACACTACCAGCAACACAATATCAAGGAAATAACTGAACCATTTTGTCTTCTGCTGATAGGACAAGGAGCCTTACACTAGTTCAGTTAAACATTAGAAAAAATAGCACAGCTGCCAAAGATCCAGAGTACAGGCCTGATGTTCATATTCACTCACCTAGTCCCATGTAGGCCGGAGCAGACCTGTGAGCATCATTCTTGGTGCTTGTGCAGTTTGGGCTCTTCCATGGATTCTGCATCTATTTCTGTAAAGTTTGGCTTGTCTTTAGTTCTTCATTACTAAGATGATGTTGCTTTCCTGGCCCAAAGTCCCTCTCAGCTGGTAGCCCTGAGTGAGAAATGCAGCAGTCTCAAGTTTGTGTTCTGTTAGTGGAGGAGCAGACCTGTGAGCATCATTCTTGGTGCTTGTGCAGTTTGGGCTCTTCCATGGATTCTGCATCTATTTCTGTAAAGTTTGGCTTGTCTTTAGTTCTTCATTACTAAGATGATGTTGCTTTCCTGGCCCAAAGTCCCTCTCAGCTGGTAGCCCTGAGTGAGAAATGCAGCAGTCTCAAGTTTGTGTTCTGTTAGTGGAGGGATAGATGCATTCCTGAGTGGGGAGTTCAGCTCATCTGGGATCCAAATTATCCTCTGGACATGTTCTTTATATGACAGAACAACCAGGCTTCCCTTCTGCAGATAAGCTGGTTAAATCAGGCAGGTCATCTAGCTCGTGTGTTAAATGGGGAGAATGTGGAACTCAGATCTCTTGCTTCAAAAATTTTATTCTAGATCAGTTCCTTATTGCAGTATCCTTAACATCCATTTTTTCTTTCCATGATATTGCATTTCTGGGCTATCTCTGTGCTTTTATTATTCCACTCATTCTAGTCTAGCCTAATGGATGCTTTTTTTTGTCTTCTTTAACAAACTTCTCATATTCCACAGCATCAAAAGCAAAAAAGGCATCACAGTCTTCTGGAAAAATAACTGTTAAAGCAAAAGAGAAGAGCTACTCCAAACTTGAAATACCTTATCAAGCAGAAGTGTTGGATGGGTAAGCTTACATAGCTGACCATGGTTCAAAACTCAGTGCTGTAAATGAGCAGGGAATTTAGACTTTTTGAGGGGGAAGAGCATATAAAGAGGTGACCCCCAAGCTCTCCAAATCTGGAGCTTATTTAGAAGTACAATTACTTGCTTGAATTTTTCTGGTTTTAAACAAGTAGATGAGGCTGTCTTAGCAAGGCATAAGCTGATTTCAAGGCTTGAGTTCAAATTAACCTTAGTGAGTTGTTTTTCAGAGCAGTTAAAGGCTACAGATGAGACATTTTAAAATACAATATTGGAAAATTCTCTGGTTTTGCATTTGTTGTTCTATCACTGTATAAGGTAGGGGCAGACAAAATATCTTTGGTTTTAAGAAAAATTTTGGAAGTACTGTCAGTGTTTCCTTGATTTTTATTATTTGGTTACGAGGTATGGCTAAGTTGACTTTAAACCCATTGTTGAAATGAGGTGCTACCTTAGCAACAGAAGGGGCAGGACCTGAAAGGCAAACAAACTAAACCTTACCTGTTGGAACTTTTGTGCTGCAGACACCTGATTTGGTTAATAAGGAATATGCATGACTTGCAAACTATCTTAATGCTTCAACACTTCCTATTAGGCTGATTTGCCTATTTTCTTATCTCATTTGAATTACTTAATCATCAATGTCCCTGTAGTGCTGCTGTTGCAGTTCCAGCATGCAGTGGGGTATGTACCTTTCTGCTGTTTGAGTGACTGAATTGCAGTCTTTGTGTAAGGAAAACACTTTATTTTGTTGACATTGCCTTCTTTTAACAGGTATTTAGGATTTGATCAAAACACTCTTTCACTGACAGTGCTGCTGATTCTGTGGAGAGGCTCATCTACCTAACCAACACGTTCAGTTTTGCAGTCCTTATACATGATGTTGTGTTACCAGAAGAAGCAAAACCAATGTTTAAAGTAAGTCCCATTTCAGTGAACATTTTTACCTGGTAGTAAATGCTTAAATGTGCTGCACTTTGTTCAGTCGTAACATTGATCTTTGTTGTTCACTGATCTCTGATTCTGTGGAGAGGCTCATCTACCTAACCAACACGTTCAGTTTTGCAGTCCTTATACATGATGTTGTGTTACCAGAAGAAGCAAAACCAATGTTTAAAGTAAGTCCCATTTCAGTGAACATTTTTACCTGGTAGTAAATGCTTAAATGTGCTGCACTTTGTTCAGTCGTAACATTGATCTTTGTTGTTCACTGATCTAGGTCCAGAACTTCAGTAAACCAGTCTTAATTCCACCTAATGAATCCAGATATATTTTTACACTTCGTTTTATGCCTTCCACATCATCTGTTCATGTAGACAACAACATTTTACTTATCACCAATGCTTCTAAATTTCACCTACCCGTTCGAGCCTACACAGGATTTCTAGATGTAAGTTGGTTTTTTTGGTTTCTAGCTAATTCAGTCTAATTAGAGGCAGAGTTCATAAGGATCTTTTTAATTCTTTATTCTGCTTTGGTTGCTGCTGAAAAATTCTCTTTTGTTCACGTTAGTTTTACGTAGAAAATGTGCAGAATTTCCCGATTTTCACAGTATGTTGTATTAGACTTATTAATGCATTTGTTAATGAGCTTAGCGTTTGAGCACATTTTATATCTAACCTGTGCTAAAATACCTTTATCAATCCTTCTAGTACTTTGTACTGCCTCCAAAAACTGAGGAGCAATTTATAGATTTTGGCATACTGAGTGCGACAGAAGCTACCAGCATTTTATTTGCAGTCATCAACAGCAATCCAATCGAGGTAAGGGTGGATTTAATTTTAGTTCATCTTTGAAAAAAATGTGCACTGGTGTTGTCACTGAAAACAGTACCTTTTGTTCCTTTTAAGCTGGCTATAAAAAGTTGGCATATTATAGGGGATGGTTTGGCTGTAGAACTGCTAACAACAGAAAAGGGAAACAGAACGACGATAATTGCAAACCACCACGAGCTACAAAATGCTACTGCATCTGATCAGTCTTCAGTAAGTAATCCTTTGAATCCATGGCTTAAAGCTAGATTTAGGAGGGGAGGGACAAAAGAGACAAACCTCTGCAGCTTCTCATGGTTTCATTATAGCAGGGGAGAGATAAGAATTCTTCATTTTTGAGTTTGAGTATGATAAAGCATGTGTATTTTCCAAATTTAAGAAGCAGTATTGTATTCAGATTGTTTAGATTTTGGAAGGGGAACCTTCAGAAACAGCAGCCTTCATGCCCTCAGATAATGCTCATCATTTATCTGGAAATTTATTGCCACAGGGAATAGATAATTTTTGTGTTCGGCACTTACGCATGTGAATTTCTTGTTTGCCACTGATAGTGGTTTGAAATGGATTTTGAGTCACTTTAAAGAAATAAAAGGATGCTGGGTATGCTTTATTAGTGAAATTTCTTTCCACTGAATGGAATAAAATGGATGACCCTTTTCCTACCATTACAGGTGATCCTAGCATCAGGCTATTATGCTGTGTTCAGAGTCAATCTGACAGCAAAAGAACTCGAAGGAATTCATGATGGAGCTGTACAAATCACAACAGATTATGAGGTATATTTATTGTATATTCATGGGTCTTGCCCAAAAGATACATTCAGTCTTGTAAACGTGAAGTTTTAAGGGTTGTATTAGTGGACAGATTATAGTATCAGGGAAAAGTTGAGTTTGGAAGGGAACTGGAGGTGAGGTTATCTCTGCAGGTTAACCCTGCATCACACAAAAATAGTGCTACTTGTGCTGTGCCTGCTCTGAAGGAATGAAGGATGATTTTCAATGAGTTTCATCTGGCTTTCAGAAATAGCCATTTAAATGTGGCTGAAAGCTTTGCAGTTTGGGTTCTTTGAGCATGACACATGCTCAAAGCATCTGTGCATGGATCTTTGGGCATAACATGCTCTGACAATGTGCTCTTTGGGACATTATCAGTTCCTGAAATTGAGCTGTAATTTCAGACTTTGTCAAAACCCAATGGGAGAGTTGTTTTGGAGAATCATAAAATCATTAAAGTTGAAGAAGACCTCCAAGATGGTCAAGTCCATCCTTTGACCAAACACCACCATGGCCACTAAAGCATATCACTGTTTGCTGGCAGTTGATGGAACAGAGTCCTTACACTAAGATCAGTATGAGAGAAAACAGCCAATTAATTCTGAGCTTCATATGCCTTATTTTTGCAGGAGAGAGATTCTAATAAGTAATGGAATCTGTATTTAATATCTTTATGTGATATATGTAGAAAAAACCCCAACTGTGACACTGTGCTTGTCAAGTCAGGAAATGATAGTGGTTCTGTTGATACTACAGAAAATGGGAAATTCCTAATTTCTGCCAGTTATCTGAGGTTTTAAGCTATTTTCAATATGCCCATACATGTATGTGACCCTTCAGTTATAGAACCTGAAGCATTTGATTTTCTTGCTTGTTCTTGCAAGTTACTCTGCTTGTATTGGTACTTTAATAACATGCAGAAAGACTCACATTGCCATCCCTTCCACACTCATTTGCCTAAGTCTGTGTATCTTGAGGTCTTACCATGACCTCTGTTTTTTGACAAGTTGGGCATATCTTCTTCCCTTCCATACTCGGTTACTTTAAAGATCTTAACCTCCAGTTTTCCAACAAAGTAATGGTCATTCAAGTGAGACCTATATAATGCCCCATTGGAGAGCTTATATTTTAACTGTGCTTTTGTGTTCCATAGGGAATGGTGCTAAGGATGGCTGGGTAAAGATGTGCTTCCTGTTTGGAATGTGAGGATGTGTTAAAATCTTAACCCATATTTCCAACTTTTAAATGTGTATATAATCTTAGACTGTTAGTTGTAGAATATCAGGGATTTGTTACTCTATGTAATTCAAATTGGAAGAGACATTCAAAGGCTGGAATGTAAGTTTTTTCTGCTAAACTTTTCTTGTTCTTCTTTTTGTCCAGATTTTAACTATACCAGTGAAGGCAGTGATTGCTGTAGGCTCATTGACCTGTTCCCCAAAACATGTTTTTCTTCCACCTTCTTTTCCGGTAAGAGAGTTGGGTCATAGCATTAGATGTTTCCTTGCTGTGTTTTTTCTTTATCTGTACTTTTCAAGGGTGACCACTGTCCTGAGTTACTGTGTGTCAGATTGCTGGAGAGATTGTGCTACTGAACTGTGATTCAGTTTGTGTCCTCTAGAACCCACTTGAGTGGGATCTTGGAATACTGATACAACTCTTTGCAGCCTCTCGAACCTGATTCTTCACAGCTTCATTCTACTGTAGCTGTGGTCACTTAGTTATTACCAATTTGTTTGTTGGCACTAAGAATAGGAGAGAGATGAAATTGCACAAATGCTTGTTCCAAATCCTAGGTGTAATACCAAAGCTGTGTGGGTCTACAGCTCTGCAGAAGTTTGGAATGGCTGTTTTCATCCCTGTTCCTGCAGTAGTGTTTATTCAGTGAGTGCTGAAAGCAGTTTCTTTGTTCAGGCCTGCAAGACTCAAGCAGCAAGATATTAACCAGATAATATTTTCTTCTCACTTGGCATTCAGAATAACCCCAGCAGCATGGGTAGTCAAGGCATATGGATTTGCAATTAGTATTTCATTGAAGTCTGAACTTTTTGTGACTTTTTGATAAGTGAGGGATGTAATATGATGGAAAATCATAGTGATAGAGTTTAAAAATAATGGAGGGGAAAGGAGCTAAAGGAGCTAAAGATGGTGGTTTGCTGAAAAAGTAAAACTAACTCCATGCACGTTGACACAAGTGTGGGGTTTTTTGTTTACTTGTATGTCCTGCATAGTCTTAATCTGTCATGGAGCACTGTGTGTTCTTACAGCTTCTGTATCTCCCAAGCATCTCCTTCTTGTCTTGCAATTTGTATACTCTTATTTAATAATTTTCCCTGGCACTTTATCAAATGCTTTACTGCATGTCTAGTAGATGAAAGATATTTTTTTTTGGAGAAGTAATGGAATAGGTGTCATCAGAGGAAGACAGGTCACTCAGCAGGACTTCAGTGAGTGTTTGCTACTTTTGCCCCATTATCCATTCCATGTCCCTTCTGATCTCCTACATCACAAAGTGTTCTAAGCCTGTTGCTACTCTTGAGGTCCAACAGCCATACCTACAGTTGCAAAGATCACTTGTCATAACTTTAGGATGTATATGTTCTATTTGGCCACATGGCCTCCCCATTATATGGATATTTATTGCACTGCCAAATCTGTAACTTCATCTGTGAACTGCTCCATAAGCTTTTGATAAACTGAAATAACTTAAACATCCATTTCACTTTCTTTCACCACAGATAAGGCAATTTCTGTATTCTGTATCCTGATGTAATAGGATTATTAGGAATTATTGTTAGGAGTTCCTGTCAAGATCCTCATCCTTCTTGAGCACCACATTAAAATACTTGTTCCACTTTGGACCATAAAGAGCTAATTTATTTTTTTAAATCTCCTTTTATTTTGCCCTAACTGGAATGGCTAAAGAGCTTCTCAGTATGTCATAGTATTGTTAAGTTACCAGTATTGCTAACACCTTGGGATTTTTGTTTGTTTGTTTTGGTTGGTTTTTGTTTGTCAGTTTTGTTTGTTTGTTGGGGATGTTTTGGGCTTTTTTGTATGTTGTTGTTGATTTGGGTTTGTTTGGTTTGGGTTTTTGTTTGTTTGGTGGTTTTTATTTGCTTTTGCTTTTTTTGTTTTGGTAGATGCTACTTCTTATAGTACCTGTGTTTCTTGGCCTTTTAAGACTTAGCTTCCTTGCTGTCATCATTCTTTCTCCTGCTCAGACTGCTGTGCTTTTTATTGTCTTCATGCTCATTTTTAGTAATGTTTTCACATAATCATTCATTCAGAGGACGTTTGTCTTACTGTGCTTTGTTTGGTAATAGAGGTTCAGATATAATTATCACCTTTGATAAGATTATAAACTGTTTTCTGTGTTGAAGCCCCAAGCTGTTCAGAGCAGTCAACTTCACCTAATACTTCATTAGTTGATCACTTACCTCTTTGGATATTTGAGAACATTGACAGCAGACTTACTTTTCTTTTTTCTGGGATTCTGTTCAAACTAAACCAGTGATCACTGAATTCATGGTACTCTTGCATCTAGTTATTCTGTAATGCCTCCATTACTTCTGAAAATAAGACTGAAATAGCATCAGTTCTGCTTGTTTCAGTGTTGGGTAGAGAAATTTTGACAGCTACACCATTCAAGAATGACTAGGTGCTACTATTTTAGTAACACTTTCTTTTCAGTTCCTATCCAGGATGTAGAATCATAGAATCATCAAGGTT